TTGTGCTGCATGGTGAGTAAATTCGGTATCCATGAGCAGATCCATCCACAATTACCGTTTCTGGTTCGTTACAGATTGATTCGTCGATCGTTCTATCCGTGGCCTTAACTACTTGCATCCAGCCTAATTCTGTAATTAGCACCAACCCAATAACTACTTTTAAAGTCGATAACAATCTTAGAGTAAAGCTTATTCTACTCTGATTTTCATGATAAGTGATTGTGTTTCTCATAAAATGTAAAAATCACTGAAATTGGTTATTTTAATGGAGATTATTACCATATAAGGAAATTTCCTTTTTAGGTCAGCACAGTTACTCTCAAGTATATTCTACAAAAAACACGTAACAACCTAACCCAACTCTATATCAACCTTTTTCTTATCTAATAAACTCAAGCAAATCTCTATTTAGTTAGTAATTCTTGATATTGCCATTTCAGCCTCAAGAGAAATTAGTTTATAAAGTCTTAATACAAACTTTCATTTTGGAATTCAAGTTGGGTTTAGATTATGTTTTATATTTATTGGGGTACTATTATTTTGATTAGAATTACCTCAAGTTAGATTGTGTTGAGATAGCATATATTCAATTAGATTGTGTTGAGATAGCATATATTCAATTAGATTGAAGTTAGTATTGAGTTAGTACTGAGTTAGTATTGAGTTAGTACTGAATTATCATTGAGTTAGTACTGAGTTATTAATGAGTTAGTACTGAATTATTAATGAAATAGCAACCCAATACTAACCCAATAATGCGCTATTGTTGTTGATACAATACTTGGATCTAGCCAATTTTAGCTAGAGTAACCACTGATTGGGGTGTCATCTCGGAAAAGCAGACAAAGATAACTTGAATGCACAATGCCAGACAAAGCGAAGCCATCTCCCGTATTTTGCTTTTGAGATGACACTGCGCATTAACCGCTACAAAACACGTTGCTAGCAAAGCTGCTAACACCCGTACGCCGCCCAGTAAAAACAGCCTGAAATCCGGATCAACCACCGATATCATTAATAGCTTCCCTAAACACATAATGGGAAAGCTGGTTGTCACCGAATATATAATCACATAGGCCGCTTCTAACAACTCAAAATCAAATAAGCCACGGTAAACCAACGACCCACATGCCACCGCACTCCAAAAGGGCACTACACTAGCATTAATCGCCAAGTAAATCCCCGACTTCTCCCGGCCTTTCCACCCATCCACCAATACTGTTTTGTAAATAGACGAACTAAGCAGTACCAGCAACGAAAAAGAGATAACATTCGATATAAGGCCAACGAACGAATAGGGTTTACCTTTGCCCGGTTCAACCAAAGGCCGCAAGAGAAGAGCCCTTTTCACATACAGAAACTCCCGGCCAACATAGCGCAAGCACCTATTCGCGCTTTTCCAAACTCCCATACCTGGACTGTTCCCAAACCTTATAAACATAACAGCTGAAACACATCGTCACAATTTGGCCTATAACATCTTTATTGATCTCAAGGCTTGCTTTGGTAAATCACCCAGATAGGTGCCGGTAGTCCGTAGACAAAAGAAAGCATGGCCAGAATAACCACCAACCCACCCAAAGCCAAGACTACGTTCCTAATAAACATATCTCGCTCAGTTGTAGCCGGCTCTGTAATAGAACCAAAGTTAACATGGGACAAATAGCCTGCAAACATACTGCAAATTACCACCACCAAGAACATACCACCACCAGAATGACTATCAGCACCGGATAAAGCAAACAGAATAGTAATCAGCAACGACACCATATTATAAATCCACATACATGGCATAACATGCACCGTCGAATACATCAGCACATAACTTGCTTGCAAGGCACTTGTTTTAAAGACGCGCTGGTAAAAGTAAGCCATGACTACAAAAGCCAAGATTGTCCCCAACACACCAAAGATATTAGAAGTTGTAAGAATTAGTCGGGCCGATGAACGCGTTAAAGACTCCAGAAATCCAACTAAAGTGAACAAACTCGTCGCCTGGGCTAAATTCAATAACAAATAGTAGATTGGGCCGCCCCAATGCAAGCTTTTTGGGTCGCTTATATTCATGGGCATTAACTGAAGAGACCGGAAGATATGACAGTTCTCACGCACTAAGGAAAAGGATCCTTGGTTTTTGGGATTGCCTATCAACCCGGAAAAACCACCATGTCGTCCTTGTCTGGGCATAACAAATAAATAATTCGGACTTGATATACCCAGTCACCCCCTCAGATCAATATTGATATACTTATTCAACCACCAAAATACCTCCTCAAACACATTCTTAAACCCGATCTTGTCTTATCTTAAATTCACGACATCCACAGAACTTTTCCTTATATGGTAATTATTGTGTCTAGTCTGACTTTTTAGTCCAATTTTATTTGTTCTCCTTATTCCTAGTCTAGTCATGAGCGAAACCCCAATTGATTCCCTTGATAAGAATAATTCTTCTTCTATGACGTATGTTAGTACCCAAAAAACCCAATTTACCCCATCACAAGACATAGCAAGTGCTGATATCAAACAAGGCTTACTAGAAGTTGCCGGCAACAATGCAGGCAAAATCTCTCGGGAAGAACTCCTCAAAATGATCACTACTATTGGTGATAAATTCACTACATCCGATGCTAATTTAGCTCTGTCCTTAATTCCTAAGGAAAATGGTTGGATTGACATTGAGCAACTAACCGATCTTCTATTCCAAACTCAGATCGAATAAATGTGTGTTTAGTTCTTTTTGTATGGATAAAAAGAGTAAGCGAACTCATTGGCGTCATACTTACTTAAAACGAATCAATTCGATCGAAGTAACCATGAAAAGAAGTCGAACCACTCCTAATCCAAGACCTGCTACTACGTTGTGTTCTCGTATTAATACTTTGCCTATCTTTAAACAACAAGAAGAAGATCAAACAACTACACCACGTACACCAGATCGTATCATTAATACTCCCAAACGCACTATCTACTACTTAAGTCCAAACAAAAACATAGATATCCCTCCTACCCCCGGGAATTTCACGTTTGAACAAGTTGGAACTCGCAAGGCATGTAAGCGCCTATTTTGGTAAAGTGTTAACATTGAGTTGAGTTGAGTTGGTGTGGGGTTGAGATAAGTAGAGATATGTTGAGTTGAGATGGTGTGGTGTGAGATAGAGTTAGGATGGTTTGAAATAGTGTGAGATAAGTGTGTGAAGTTGAGTTAGGTTGGATTGAGTTAGGATGGATTGAGATAGGTTGAATTGGTGTGAGTTGAGTTAGGTTGGTGTGAGATGAGTTAGGATGATAGACATAATAAAAGACTATGTAGATATGGTGGGTGTTTTTATTGAGTGGTGGTGTGGTGGTAGTGGTGGTTCAGGATGAGATCGGGCTAGTATTAATTTTAGTGTTGATTGTGTCTGGGATATGCACTCTCTAGTTGGTGAAGATCGAATTAAGGACCAAGTAAGTAAAATACGAGATAAAGGAATGAAAACAGAGGGTTTAGTCGGTTCTATTAATATTGCCCGAATTGGCGTCTCTTCCTTGGATGAAGGAATCTTCCCAGAAGAAGTCTTAGAAGTAATTGAAGCTCGTCGCCAGCAGATCTTAGCCCAAATCATGCGCACAGCTGAACTAGACCGAAGTACAGTTGCTCAGCGACCAGATCTCCGTCATCGCCAAATAGAGGAAGTTAAAGCCAGTATTCGTCTGTTAGTACTTGATATTGAAAGGATCTATGCCCAAACAGGCCGTAATTGTGTACAAGAGTGTTCGGATATGCTTCAGGAACTGGAAGAGGTGAAGCAGAAGTACTTAACCAAGAAAGCATTTCTAAGTGGTGGATTCAAATGGTCAGCCGCCGCTATTCTTTGTCTCTCTATTTTAATCTATATGATCAGATCCTACTTACTTTGAATTAAGTTAAGTTAAGTTGAGTTAGGGTAGAGTTAAGTTGAGTTGAGTTAAGTTGAGGCTAAATTCATTTACACCATCTACGCCATTACAAGAACAAACCACTTTATTATATCAACTCAACCCAATTCACATCTAATAGAACTCTATCTAATACCATCTTAATAGCACATTTAATATTACACTAATTCATTACCCACTCTAACTCTACCCACCCCAATACCACCCTAACTCAACTCAACCCAATCGAATACTCTTGGAGAAAAGTGATGACGTACGGACGACTGGATAAATTGTACTGTTAACAACTACCACACGTACTCCAGTTTTAACCAAGGCACGGATAGCCCGATTAACTTCCTTAAGCCTTTTGGTACCACCAGCAGCCACTACTAGAGTCACTAAAGTATCAATCCCCAATAAAAAGGACCCAATTCTAACACTGCGTATTTGTAAATCACTTAAAATCACTAGTAATCCCTCCATACTCGTACAGGTCAGTACTTCACATCCAGGTATTTCTGGGACTTTCCCTTTAGTCACTACTAAGACAGGACTCATTTGTGGATTGGCCCGAAAGAGTTCTCTTATCAACCACGACTTACCACTATCTCGTCCCCCAATAATTTCAATCGCACCCGGCTTAGATAGCTCTAAAACCACCATTTTACTAAGTTCTACCAACTCCCGATTTCCCTCCACTTGACTGAAGATTAAACCCATATTTAGATCGACGACTTCTAAAAAAGCAGACTTCAACATTACCATATATGGTCATTGTGGAATTCTTTTTTTAATATGACTCTGAGTTTCCAATTGTTTGCTAAGCGACCTTTTTGGTCCCATACTTATGTTATTCCTATCTATTTTTATCCTTTTGTCTACTATATAGGAAGTAAGTATACTTTTGGTGAAAATGATACGTCAGGGGCTGTAATAGGTATGTTCTTTTGGGGGATAGTTCAAGGGTTCTTATTCTTATCTTCATTTTGGGGGAGTACCATCTATCAGTACGCTAAATTGAAGCGAGTGGATAGAATTGAAGAGGCAACAATGGTGCGTATAGAGAAAGAAAGAGGGATTGGCCGATCTCAAAAAGTTGGATTTTCTTATCTCCTTTCAAAAACTTTAGTGATTGGAGATAAGAAAGAACGAGTTAAATGGTTAGAATTTGACAATGATGTTTTTTACTTTACCCAATCGGGTTTTAAACAGTTATCAATTGATTTAGATCATTCTTTACAGGAATATCAACAAGAAACAATTACTAACAAATTGTTATCTGGTTTGATAGAGAGAAGTATTCTACCAAAGAATGAGTTTAAGATTGAGCCACCTACCTTTTTGAATATGTTTGCTGAACATGCAGTTAGTCCTTTCTTTGTCTTCCAGATCTTTTGTGCTCTCTTATGGATGCTTGATGAGTACTGGAAGTACTCTCTTTTTACCTTTGCTTCAATCATAGTCTTTGAAGGAGGGATGGTCTTCCAACGCCTCTCCAATATCAGGCAAATGCGCAGTCTTAATTTAGCCCCACAAAAGATCTTAAGAATTAGAGATAACAAAAAGGAAGAAGTCTTAAGTAGTGAACTTTGTCCAGGTGATCGTATCTTTATTGCCCATAAGATCCAAATTCCAGCCGATCTTTTGATTCTTACAGGACATGCAGTAGTTAATGAATCAATGCTTTCTGGTGAAGCTACCCCTGTAGCCAAGGAAAGTATTTCTGAAAGTCCGGAAATCTTATCTTTAGCCCGACATAAAAAACACCTTCTTTATGGTGGAACTAAGCTTATGAAACTAGATGAGCGTGGAATTGAGTGTCGTGTCTTAAGAACTGGGTTTATGACAGAACAGGGAGAACTTATTAAGTCTATGATTGCTTCTGAAGATGTAGTTGGAGAGAACAATTACGAAGCTTATCTTTTTATCTTAGCTATGTTGATATTTGCTATCTGTTCTTGTGTTTATGTCGTACGAGTAAGTGTTGGACTGGGTAAAACCGTCTACAAAATCATGTTAGAGTGTATTATGATTCTAACTAATGTAGTACCACCTGAACTACCTATGGAATTAACTATTGCTGTTAACTCTTCTTTACAAGAACTAGTAACCCTAGGTGTTTATTGTTTAGAACCATTTAGGATTCCTTTTGCTGGTAAGATAACAGTTTGTTGTTTTGATAAGACTGGGACCTTAACTGAACTGAACTACCAGTTGGAAAGACTGGAACATGCTCAGGATACTCAGGCTGAAGTAGTACTGGCCACTTGTCATTCGGCTATTGTATTAGAAGGTAAGATTGAAGGAGATCCTATGGACTTATGCGGACTGGAGTTTGTTAAGGCCGAAGTTCTTTCGGATGATTCGGTTCAAGTAGAGGAAGCTACCTATCATACAATCAAAAAGTACTCTTTTGATAGTGATCTCAAAAGAATGTCAGCTTTGATTCAAAATGGTAAGCAAATCTATGCCGTTATGAAAGGTGCTCCAGAAACAGTCAAGGACTTTTTAGCATCAGTACCTGCCACCTACAGTGACTTTGAAGAATTCGCTGCTAAAGGCTACCGAGTTTTAGCTTTAGCTATTAAGGAAGTCCCTCTTCAAACTATTCCGACAACTCGAGCGGCTTTAGAGGCACAAATGAGTTTTGCCGGGTTTGCCCTTTATAACTCTAAGCTCAAAGATAAGGCTAAAGAAACAGTTGCCCATCTGATTACCAGTGGACATAAAGTCATTATGATTACTGGTGATAATGAAAAAACAGCTATCAGTGTAGCTAAGCAATTGCGCATGTACAATGAGCATTTCTTAAGTGGAACTGAACAGATCAACAAGTTCTTACAATCTGTATCTGAGATGAGTTTAGAAGAAAAACAACGCGTAGTATGGCCATCAGTCTTTGCCCGGGCTAATCCCGAGGCTAAAGAAGAAATTCTTACTCTACTTAATGCATCAGGTGAGTATACACTTATGTGTGGTGATGGAACTAACGATGTAGGAGCACTTAAAACAGCCCATGCCGGAATTGCTCTTCTGGAGGGGACTAAGAACCGGGCTAAGTCTATCGCCTTACCGGGTAATATTGGGCAAACGATGTTTATTCTGGATGAAGAAATTAAGCTAAAACTTGGTGATGCGAGTGTGGCCGCTCCATTTACATCAAGAACTGGATCTTTACAATCAGTAATTGATGTGATATCTCGTGGTCGATCGGCTTTAGTCAGTACAGTGCAGATGTATAAGGTTTTAGCTCTTAATTCTCTTCTTTCAGCTTATACTTTAAGTGTGTTTGATACAATGGGTATTAAGTATGGTGATTTCCAAATGACAGCTGCTGGTATCTTATCTGCTTTTGCTTTTACCTTTTTTGGTAAATCAAAACCTTTGCCTAAGATTAGCAAACAAAAACCAGTTGCTAAAATATTCAGTAGATACATTGTAGTATCGGTTATTCTGCAGACTTTAGTGCATATTTCATCCTTTTACATTACTTACCTGGGTATTATCCAGCACGGTCCGATTGTTCTGCAGGAGAAGTTTGCTCCTTCCCTAGCTAATACTGCTATGTTCCTATTGGGTACAGCTTTGCAAGTCACTACCTTGATTGTTAATTATGTGGGTCGACCTTTCCGTGAAAGTCTTACAGAGAATACTAAACTGTTTAATTCTCTGGCTCTGACTATGGTTATGGTAGTTTGTTGCACTCTAGAGGTATCGCGTGAGATTAACGAGAAGATGGAACTTGTTTCTATTCCCTCGGTTTTAAAGACAAGACTTCTACTGGTTATTGGAATTGATCTTCTTCTTTGTCTTGGTATTGAAAAGACTGCATTCGGTCTCTTCATGAACAAGACACCTCAGAAGCCAGTCTCTAAATTGAAGAAATCCGTATAATAAACAGTACTAGGTTAATGTTATGTTAAGTTGGGTTGGGTTGTGTGGGGTTATGTTGGGTTGAGTTGAATTGAGTTGGGTTATGTTGGGTTGGGTTACGTTATCCTGACTTCATTGGGTTATGTTATGTTATCCTGACTTGGGTTGGATTAGATTGGATTGGATTAGGTTAATGGGGAGTAGGCAGGAAGTAGGTGGGGTGTAATGTGGATGTGCTGAATGGGTGGAGAGGATTGGGTAGAGATTTTAATTCAAGTAGTATCTTATATTTTGAATTTTTGTACTATATCTAAGAATGCAGATAAATATAGTTCAAAGGGTTGGGATGATATCGGCTGGGTTGTTTGGTTGGGCTATGGGAACACTAGCTGATTATTCAAAACATCTGGCATTAGATGATAGAATTGAGGATAGATCGGTGGGACCAGTAAACTATAACTTTATGCAACGTTATATTGGCGCTGTTGACTTCGATGATATCTCTACGCGAAAGAGTATTAGAAGACTGATTCAGAGTTTATTACTTCGGTGTCCCACCAGTCAGAAAGAGAAGAGTAAAAAGGAGGCTTATATAGCAAGTCATTGTATAACCAGAAACATTGTTGATCCCACAATGTACGATGTTGACATCCAGACATACATAGTACTGTTCAATTGGAATGCTTGCACTGAGAGGAACCTTACTGAAAAGACCCTGCTACTAACCCAAGTAGTATCATCAATTGTAGTGCCTACTTTTCAGGTCTATGAGATCGCGCTTAATCGAGGAACCAAAGATTATAGCTTGCTTCTCGCTTGTCTACGAGTAATTAAGGCCGATAGTATTGTTCTCAACGATGATACTCCCAAGCTCGGGTGGTTAGCCAATATGGCAGTTGATTGTTGCTTGATTAACTTTCACCTGGCTCTTACCTCAATTAAACCACCACGTATACCTAGTGTTGGGCTCACCATAACACTTTATTTTCGGACCTTTCTAGCTATTGAAATAGCTCATTTGATATGCACGTTCAAAGGGGCATTTTCTATCACACTAAACCTGGTTTATTTCTACAACGACGCAATAGAGCATAAACTAAGGCCAAAAGTTGTCCAAACCACTCTTTTTGACTCAACCCCTGTGGAAAGTAAGCTAACCGTACTGGGAATTTTATGGGATGGAGGTCCGCAAGCCGATCTGTTTCTTGCCTATCTAATGAGCCGCATTAACGGTCTCATCTGTTTGTGTGTGGATGCTAGGAGTTTCACCCAATTGAGCAAAATTGACGAGCCGGCATCTTCTAGTCAGCCAGACCTGTGCAGTCCATTAGAACAGAACGAACAAGTCCCCCATTCTACTAAGCTATCCGCCTCAGAGTCAATCAAACAGGACATAAATACATTGCTGGAGAACATCACATACTTCCAAGTTACTATTGGGGCCACTCCCTCCCGCTCTGTGTATATGACTTACAGTACCCTCCATCTATCCATCCAATGCTTCAATTTAATCTATGCCAAGTCCCCAACGACCCTTCTGATTTTGGATGGACTTACGTCTGTAGAAGGTTCGCCGAGAAAGATTAGCGCGTTGTTACAGATGAACAGGTGTGACTTTACATGTATATATCTTTTCCGAACCACCGACCAGTTTATAGATTCATTCATCAAGTCCATCTCTATAGCAACAACGCTCAGAATCTGCATCGGCGATCCCACTATTAACAGCGATCCCTACAGCATTCTTACCACTTTAAAATACAACAACAACCCCAATATCACTATTGTTTCTTCTATTATACGACATTTATTACAACTACCCCGCCCAACCATCAACTCAATGATTGCCCTGCTCTGTGATTTTCATGAGCATTCCATCCCTAGTACCATATACCCGCCCTACACAATTACCTACAACTTATTAGAATTCGCCAACCTCTCCATTTGGGCCAATAGGAACTTCCCCGCCCCACAGCTCATTAATACATTCCTACCTCTAGCACCTCCTCTCTCCCACATCCATCTCAACTCCCTGTTCTGCTTCAAAGAAATTAGCCACTACACGGCCGGCGCACCAAATAATACAGCGGCCTATCTGAATCACATGCTTGACTACATCCTATCCATTACACCCACCAACCTACCCATTGCAAATTACCACGGTCTCACTAGCATCAAAATATCTCTTTACTATCTTTTCCCCGAGACACTACCCACTCTAGTCCTATCTATCGTTCGCTTCATCACCATCATCTACCCAAGCATTATCAAAATTGTTATCGACCGAATAGTTGTAAACAGCACAACCGTCCGCACTCTCATTGAAGGCTTAGACCAATACCTAGACGAGATGAAAGCCCGCTTCATCACCATCCCAGAAATCACACTCATCCTCCACAACCTAAGTGGCAGCCAAAAGCTCTGCTACCAAACTATATCTGGACCTAGGCCACCCAGCTACCCCGCAACCAATTTTATATTGATTGCCAACTAATCAGCCCACCCACAACCAATAAACCCACTATCCCCAACAAGCACCGCCAATCTATCTATATCCTGCTCTCTCTCAACAATCCAATACTAACCCAATTCAAACCAATTTCTCCTCTTAACTCAACCCTATCCTATCCCATCTCATATCAACTACCACATCAATCTCAACCCATCCCATTCCATCTCATCCCAACCTAACTGCAATACCGCCATACGACCACTACCCCAAACCAATAGCAACTCAAACCAATAGCAACTCAACTAAATCCAACACAATACCAACACGTAACTTTAATATAGCCCGGACACTTTAGCCAGTTTGTTTTGGCAGATCCACGCTACATTTCGATATGACGTCATCCTCACTTACACTCTTATTTATCTAATAAATAGTACCCACACATATCTCAAGGAATGTCCTTAATAGAGTAGGTATTAGTTAGGATTGAGTTGGGATTGAGTTGGGATTAGGCACTACACTACACCACACTATACTACACCATACTAACATAATCTAATCTAACTTGACTCAATTTATTGTTCACTCCACCAAACCTACCTCAACCTATCTCATCAAACCATCTTAACTCACGGCAATAAATCGTAATCAAATACTCATCTAGTGCTCGGCCCATTCAATCGAGTTCAAGTCAATTCCTTCTTCGGCCATCTCAAATAATGGTGATAGTTCTTGTAACTTCTTGACCTTATCAGAAACCTTCTTAACCACATAGTCCACCTCTTTCTCCGTAGTAAACCGGCCTATTCCAAACCGTAAGGAAGAGTGGGCCAAATCCTCAGATACACCCAAAGCCTTCAGTACATAAGATGGTTCTAAAGAGGCCGATGTACAGGCACTACCACTACTTAAAGCAATATCAGGCAAAGCCATCAACAAGGACTCACCTTCAACATACGGAAACGAAATGTTCACACAACCCGGAAAGACATTCCGACCTCCATTCCTTCTAATTCCCGGAATGTTCTTCTGCAAGCCACCAAATAAACGAGCTGATAATCGCTCTATCTTATCTTTATCTTGGGCCATTTGCACTCGAGCAATATCACAAGCCTCTCCTAAACCAACAATCAATGGTGTAGCTAAAGTCCCACTACGCATACCTCTTTCCTGGCCTCCACCACTGAATAATGGCTGTAGCTTAGGCCGTGGAGCCTTCCGGGAGACGAATAAAGCACCACTACCCATAGGACCGTATATCTTATGTCCAGAAATACTCATCAGTGAAATATTCATATCTCGCACATCAAGAGGAATCTTACCTACGGCCTGAGCAGCATCAGTATGGAAGAATACATTATTCTCACGGCAGATTTGACCTATTTCCTTTAAGGGCGCAATTGTACCTACTTCATTATTAACAGCCATAATACTGGCCAGAATTGTTTCTTTCTTAATAGCTTGCTTAAGATCTTCTGGACTTACTTGGCCGTCCTTATCAACCGGTAGATAAGTCACTTCAAAACCTTCCATTTCTAGATCTCGGCACGTATCAATTACACATTTATGCTCTATTTGCGTTGTAATAATATGCGGTGTACCTTCTACTTGTTGCTTGTAGAAACGAGCAACTCCTTTAATAGCTAGATTGTTACTTTCGGTGGCACCACTAGTAAATATGATTTCTTGTGGATCTGCATTGATTAGCTTGGCTATCTTACTCCGGGCTTCTTCTACGGCCTTTTCAGCAGCCCAACCGACTTCATGGGTGCGACTGTGTGGATTTCCAAATTTCTGATTGAAATAAGGAAGCATCTTAGCTACAACGCGGGGATCGGTTGGTGTGGTTGCTTGTAAATCCATGTAAATCGGAGTTTTAACACCCCAGCCTAGCCAATTGAAGGCTTCTTTAGGCAGATTGACAATTCGTTGTAAAGGACCCATAAAAAAATTGCCCATCTTGGGAGTTTTAGTGGGTTGTTATGATATCTTTAAGATGAGATAGCGATTAATAAATGTTCTTTGGCCTTTTCAAAAGCATCTAAGGAAATGTTTGTCCATTTTGGCGGGTTGGTAGTCCATGTTTGGTCCTTAATAGTGTACTGCATAGCGTGTAAATAAAGGATGGAAAAGCGAGGAAGAGTTTGGGTAGCGGCTAAATGCCGGCAGTGCATGCATGCTTCAAGAATGAATAGTTCAGGTGTAGTAGCTGTGCATTGCTCCAGAAGATCATTATTATCTAAGAACTCGTCTATGCGGCAGTCATCTGAATTGAAGAGGGAGTAAGCCCGAGTACGAGTAAAAGCAATGCCGTATTGTTGTCCGAGGGCGAAGTAAAGTTCAGGTGTAATATGGATTGGTTTAGGTTGAGATGGTGTTGGTGTTGGTGGTGTTGAGGTGGGATTAGGTTGAGTTGGTTGTGGTTGTAATAGGCTATGAATGGCTTGGGGTGGGATGTATCCTTGGGAGTAAATCTGGTCATTGGCAATGGGGTAGCCAAGGGCTTGGAGATGGACACGAATTTGGTGAGTACGTCCGGTGACAGGACGGCAGAGAAGGACTGATTCTTGACCTTCTTTGGCCAGTCGCCAGAAGGCAGTTCGACTAGTTCGACCTATCCATTGTTCGTTTTGAGTATAGATAGTGGTTAGACAGTCTTCACGAGAAATAACTAAGGGTAAATCAACAATGACAGGTCCTTCTGGGAATTCACCACTCACTCGGCAGACGTACCATTTAGCTACTACTCCTTCCATAAGTGTTTGGTGGTACTCGGCGGCAGCCCGTTCTGATTTAGCCAGAATAACTAAACCAGAAGTCTGTCTGTCCAGGCGATTAATAGCACTAATAAACTCTAAGCCCATTTGTTCCCGGACTATTTCAGTTAAGCTGTTCTTGGCATAAGCACTATTGGGATGGCAAGGCACACCCGCTGGCTTATCAACAACCAGTAAATCTTTATTCTCATGAACCACTACTAAATTACCATCAGGAATAGGTGGTTCATGCCTATGCACTAAGTTAGTGATTAAATCGTTATGTTTTAAACGGTAATTTATATCAACTTTAGCGCCATTCACTCTGATCGCACCGATTCTGATGGCGAGATCAAAATATTTAAGAGATCGGCGCTTGAACTCATTAGCCATGGTCTCTAGTAGTGTTTGGCCAACCCAACGGGCCTTAGTATAGGCCTTAAATTCAAAGACATAGGGAATAATAGCCCGAACCATTAAAAAATTTCTATGACGTCAATTCTAGCCTTTATCGCTAACTCTAAAGAAGGCGTTTCTACCCAAGATATCGAAAAGGCTTTCCCTTCTCTTTCTTTATCTTCAATTGTGGCCGAACTTAACCGACTTTCCAAAGAAGGACAAGTTGATATTTTTCGAACTAAAAGTGGAATATTCTACCGTCATAATCAAGAAGAGCATAAGTTTGCTACTGGTGAAGAGAAGATTCTTTATTTACTGGTTAAAGAATCGGGCAGTGATGGAATTTGGATTAAAGATATCAAAACAAAAAGTGGACTACATCAAAATCTGATTACTAAAATACTACGCAGTTTAGAACAACGTTTACTTATCAAGGCAGTCAAATCAATCAAGCAAAACCGCAAAGTATATATGCTTTATGACTCAGTACCATCAGTAGAGTTAGGTGACGGTCCTTGGTTTACACCAGATGGCGAGTTAGATTTAGGATTTGTTGATGCCATCAAAACCGTAGCTCTAGAATGGATTGCTAGTTTTGCCACCAGTACACATCTTCCCCCATTCAAAACTTTACCAGAATGTCAAGATGTCCATGACTTCATAACAAGAGCCGGTATTTCTTCCATTCCCTTAAGTTCCAGCGACGTCCTACGTATTTTAGATCTCCTAGTTAATGAGCAAAAGGTTACTCGTTTAGGCACCAAGTACTTAGCCATCACCACCTCCACCTAATCATCAATAGAGTTAGTTTGAGTTAGTATTTAGTTGGTATTTAGTTACTAATCACATTATCAATTGAGTTAGTTTGAGTTACTAATCACATTATCAATTGAGTTAGTTTGAGTTACTAATCACATTATCAATAATATCATTACGAGCTACACTACCAATAATATCATTACCAATAATATCATTACTAACTACAGTACCAGTATCATTACTAATCACATTACCAATCACATCAGTATCAACCCAACTTAACCTAACTCAATACAATACAACACCAACTCAACCCCACTTAACCTAACTCAACTCAATACAATCTAAATCTAAATCTAACTCAATCCGTATCTCTGAATAAGTAAATTTTGTCTTTTTATTGTACATGGATACGTCAACTTCTAATATAAAGTCCGATTTGGTCAATCAAGAACCAACTAATCAAAAGAAAGAAAAGGAAGAAGAAGAAATCTCTCCTGATGTTCAAGCTGCCATTGAAATGTTAAAGCAAATGGAGATATCTAAAAAGGAAAACGAGTCTTTAGAAGAGTACAAGAAGTCTTTATTAAGTAGTGAATTGTTATCTAAATCTACTTTTGAAGAGATAAGTATTTCTGAAGTGATTATTAAAGCTTTAAGAGCCCAAGGATTTAAAACTCCTAGTTCTATTCAGGCCAAATCAATCCCAGAGATAGCAACTGGTAAAGATGTAGCTTTCCAAAGCCATAGTGGATCTGGGAAGACAATTGCTTTTATTGTTGGAGCTTTAAACAAATTAGACTTAAGTGATAAGAGTTCACAAGTAGTGATTGTTGCTCCAACTCGAGATTTAAGTAGGCAGATCTATGCCGTATTAGAGACTTTTAAGCCTATTGTTCAGTTTACTTCATTTTTAGCCGTTGCAGGTCAGATAGATAGTAGTACTAAGGTAGAAGGACAAATTATTGTTGGTTCACCCGGTTCAACTAAATCAGTCGTATTACGTCATATTGATCCTAAAAAGATCAAGATGGTTATTCTTGATGAAGCTGATGCTATGTTAGCTGATGAGACTGGTCAAGTTATTACGATGATGCTTAATCGTATTCCTCAGAAGCAACTAGTTCTCTTTAGTGCTACATTTAGTGAGCATATGAAGAGTATTATTAACAAGCACTGTCGTAATGGGATTAAGACTTTCTATTCAGAACGGGCTAATGTTAAGCCAGATAATATCACCCAGTTTTATATTGAGACGACTGAGAGTAAGAAGACTAGTACTTTATTGGAACTTTTTGGGATGGTCTCATCGGGGCAGGTGATTGTTTTTACGGCTAAACGAGATCGGGCGGAAGAGATTTGTCGTGATCTTGGTGAAGATGGTTTTGATTCAACTGTTCTTCATGGGCAATTAAGTGTGGAACAACGAGATAAGGCTATTGCTGAGTTTAAAGATGGATCCATTAAAGTTCTGATTACAACTAATGTACTTAGTCGTGGTATTGATGTTCCGCAACTTAATTTAGCCATTAATTATGATGTACCCCGGACTATGACTGGATCTCCAGATATTGAAACTTACATCCATCGAATAGGTCGGACAGGTCGGTTTAATCGAGCCGGTGTTTCCGTTACGTTCATTTCTGGTGAAAGAGATCTTAAGGATTTAGTGGCGATTGAAAAGGCCGTTAATGGCAAGATTCAGTACATCACGATGGATGCTATGAAAGAAGCTATTGCCCGTAAGGCCAAAGAAACTATTTTGGATACACCGACTGAAACAACTGCCATACCTACGGCTGATCCTACTGCCGACAAATAAACCTTCTTTGGCTACGTGTGCTAGATAGCACGGTAACCCCTAATAATCTCTTCTTATCATTTTAGTCCGTTTAACTTAACTTAAGTTAGTATTAGGTTAAGTTAGTATTGTGTTCTTATTATGTTTAGTATCACACCAATCTCATATCTTATTAACATAATACTACTCTACTAACACCATATCTCATTAACATAATACTACTCTACTAATACCAACCTCATATCTCATTAACATAATACTAACAACAATCTACTATCTCATTAACATAATCCTAACACAATATAATACTAATCCAATAAGTTTCTAGAACATCTATTTAATAGAACTATCTTTCTGTCTTTATCTCTATTTTGTCTATCTCGATCATAACTCAGCTTAACTTAACTAATCGCTCGCAGGCCTGAATGATAGACAGTCCAATAACGGTTGGCACGGGATTGTGTGTATCTAAAAGAAACAACTTGTGCTTGCCAATGTATGTACTGCCATAAGTCAATTGGGCCTCCAAGTAGTACATTGAAGGCAGAATTGTGCCGGCTGAGTCGCGAATTAAGTAATTGTGCTGTTTCAACTTCAGATGCGGTAAATGAGCAGCTAGTTGGTAGAACAATCCCCAGTCAATAATACTCACATCGGCTCCAGTACTATGTCGGCCAGTTACTTGTTGGCCATTAATAGCTAATGTAATATAAATTGGCCGGGAATTCATCATACGCTTACTATCTACCTGAATATTACTCAGTACTAACTTACGAGTGCTATTACTCATCTTATTACTACTACCTACCTTATTATTACTACTAATCCGAGCACTTCGTAATCTTTTTCCTACTTGTAATACTTCTGTATTCTTCTCTATTCTATTCCCGTCCGACTCAGCCAAGACTAAACCTTTCACTTCCACTGGCCAGTCCAAGCACTCACATAAACCCAAGAAGACTTCAGGTACTTCCCGGTCTTCCGATAGTCCACTAGCCAGTACACTCTCTGGGAATTCTTGTTTCAAAGCTAAAACCAACTTACTCCAACTCATTTCACCCCGACCTAAATCATGCACAATCTCCATCCCCCAGGCATACATACTTGCAAATCCCTCTACGCCCGGTAAACTCCATTCATTCCCACTGACCATCTCTCTTTTAAAGATCCCTAACAATCGCGGCAGAACTTCATTCCGCCACCCCAAAGATCCTCCTTGTCGTCTCTCCCTATCTACTACCCAACGCCGCAAAGCTTCCAACCGCCCGCCTAGGACTTCCACTCTAACTTGTGCTTGTCGACCCAAAGACTCTTGTAAGTACCGCAACTTAGTTCTACTACCAGCCTTCTTCCAAACCGGGTTCAATTTAAAGTACATCTCTTTCTTTTGAAATCCCCGCTTATCTTCACGAAAAGTCAAAGTATTACGTAATTGAGCCACCAAGTCCTTCTTCCATCTACCTAGCATGCGATTGCTTCTACCGAGCTCTTCCAAGCAATCCGACTCTTTAGTCTCCTCATTCTTTTTCTTACTTCCCTCACCTATCGCTTGGCCACACTTAGTCTTGTTGTTAATCTCCATATTTTTATTAGCTATCTACTATATAAAGCCACCAACTCAGTTGATGTCATGCGATGTTTGACAAGGTTTATAGTCCCGTTGGCCACTTCCCCAACACCAATACACTTCCCCAACCAACCAACCCAATTGAATTAGTATCTAGTTGGTATTTAGTTGGTATTCAGATAGTATTTATTTGCTATCTAGTTGCTATCTAGTTACCATTTAGTTACTATTTAGATAGTATCCATATCAACTTAACACAATTTAACCCAATCTAAACTTAATACAACTTAATGTTGCCCGCCAATCTTGCAACTCGCCGAACTTGAAAGTTCAAAACTATTTGCAGAAAGCGAAGCTCCTCACTTTCTGGCCCGGGATTGCGGATTCCGAGGCTGGCGAGACAGAATACAATAACGATGCTTTATTTGAAAATCTAACAACTACTAGTTTAAAATATACACGGACATACTATACTAACTCGAGTTCGCACTATTTTGCGAATGTTTTGAAAGTGGCTATCAACCCAAAAGAGAGATAGATACTTTCAGGTCTTTCGCTCTCTTCCTTTCTTATCTGAAAGTGCTTTAAAGTAATAAACTCTCCTTTTATTGTCCAATTCTTATCTCTTATCATATTCTATGATATAAACAGATTTAGTATACTCGTTGACAAGAAGCCTTGATTTGCACTACCCAATACTAACCCAATGCTTAGCAATATGTTGTTCGGATCGATGTTTAGCAATAATTCATCTTGATCTATGCCTAACCCAAATCAATACTAACCACACGTACATCTCTTTACTCAAGTCTATTTGCCAGCATTGGGTTAGTATAGTTCCTGGCTCCAGCAAGTAAAAGCTAGTACCAGATTGCCGTCGATTCTTAATATTGTTATCATAACCCATACCAACCCAATGCCCTCCTACGACCACTACTTAGCTCCCATAAGATCAACCTAATGATTTACCAGCTAATTACGCCTCGCAACTTTAATAGAGTCAATCTGATTCGACTAATTTAGTTTTACATATCTACGCTACAATTCAATATGACGTCATCCTCTCACACAACCATATTTATTTAACAAATCACATCGATACTCGTCTCAATAAATGTCTTTAATAGAGTAGGCATTGGCTAATGAACCATATCCAACTCATGGTAATGGAAATACTAAAATGTCATCGGACACCGGCAATGAAGTGTCTAAGAGCTTTTCATCCTTATCAAAAGAATTGGGTTGAAGGTATTCAGTAAGGCCTGTAACACGAATCTTTGCGGGGCTGCTAGA